CTGACTGCCATCCTTTGCTTCACAGGCCACTCATGGCTAATGTAGTGGCTAGGATAGAAGGAGATAGTCTCTAGATAATGAAATAAAATTTCAAAGGCAAGCAAATTTTCAGCTATCTTTTTGGCACGTGGCAATGTTATTAAAAGGGCCATTTATATTAGAAATGGCAAAATTATTTACCTTTTTTTCTTTTAAAGTGGAATTGTACCTGGAAAACATCTATCTATGAAACCTAAAACTGCAAAGCTCACTCTGGTAATAAGTGCTTAGACTTAGCTCCCTGCTGAGTTAAAAAATAATGATACTTGAGATGGGGCTGGTGAGCCACTGCTCGCTGACATCTGGATACTTTCCTATTAATAATGAAATTAATACTACCAGTTGTGAATCTGAAAATGTTTCTCGAACAAGTCCAATTCTTTTTTTAAAGAATTATTTTTTCAATTTTATTTATTCACTCATTTATTTTAATTTGACCAGAGAGAAACACAGAGAGAGAGAGGAAAAGTGAGAAAGCAAAACTCTAGGTCCAGTACTCAAACTGTGGTTGGCCATGTGGCAGTGTCCAGCACCTTAACTACCATGCCACCTATTGGTCCCCCAATTCTTTTTTTTTTAAGAATTAATTTCTTTTTATTTAACTTTATTTATTTATTTTAATTTGACTAGAGAGTGACAGAGAGAGAAAAAGATAGAGGAAGAAAGCAAAAAACCAAGCCACCAGGTCTAGGACTTGAACCATGGTCGGCCATGTGGGAGTCCAGCATCCTGAATAACCCTGTCACCTACCAGCCCCAAACACGTCCAATTCTAAGCCTATAGCATGGGTGAAAAATCTTGGTGAACTGTTTATCTTACCAAAGTTTTTTTCTTTTCTTTACTTCAAGTATGGGTGGCATGCATTTTCTTGTTTGTCCCAGGTCCCTCCAGTCCCGGTGATCTACAGCGTTCATTTCTATCATCTCCCTGTCCCATGAAAGCTTACTTTTTGACTTCTATTGAGGTATCTTTCAGGGGCTCCTTTCCAATTTACTTCTCGTATCTAGGATAGATCAGAGATTCCCTCTGAAGCAAAACAGAACATTTATTTATTTGTCTTAACATCTATTTTTTATTGTGGTACAAAGTACATAAACAGAACATTTATAGATTGATGGGAGTAGGTGGTATAACCCATGCTAGGGAGAAGGTAGAGGAGTATCTTCTCTTGGAAATCAGATCTTGTAAAAGACAGTGTTTGGCTAAGATGATTAAAAAAGAGGAACCCATTGTGGTGGTACATAGGTAACGCCACCACTCGGAAGGCTAGAAGCTGCATGGGAGGCCCAGGTTCAGTTCTGGAACCAATTTGAATATGTTGCGTACAGTTGTGTGTGCCTGTGATCCCAGCTACTGGGAGGCTGGGGCAAGAGAATTGAGAAGCAGTGAGACTGACAAAAATATCTATTTCTGACTCTCTCTCTCTTTATCGCTTCCTCTCTCTCTTAAAGAAAAAGAGAGGGGAACCAGCAGTTAGCGTAATGGCTATGTCGCTGGACTCCCACGTAGTTGACCGTGGTTCGTGTCCCGGACCCGGTGGCTTAAAACTCACGCCAGGCACATGTGCGTGCATGCCCAAGATCCTGAGAGGAGAATGGAGAAGAAGGGATTGCGTCATGACCATCCCACCTGGAGGGTGATTTCTCGCTTTCTGTCTCTATGTCTCTCTGTCTGTCTGGCGAGCGCACGTGCCCTACAGTGAAAATCTCTCTCAAAAAAAAAAAAAAAAGAAAAAGAGAGAAAGACAGTAGGGAATATGCTGTTCACATTGAAGCCTGCAATTACACCTCTACCCTGAAGATTGACCAAAGAAACATCGAATAAAAGAATCTCTCTTTTTTTTTTTTTTGAGAGAGAGAGATTTTTGCTATAGGGTGCATGCACTAACCGGAGAGACAGAAAGCAAGAAATTACCTGCTCCAGGAGGGTGGGAATGCCACAATCCCTTCTCCTCCATTCTCCTCTCAGGATTTTGGACATGCATGTACTTGTGCCTGGCGTGAATTTTAAGCCACCGGGTCTGGATGCGAATGTGGTTGACTACGTGGGAATCCAGAGACGTAACCATCACACCATCTGCTGGTCAAAAAAGGATCCATTATTAAACCAGTTACCTGCCGGCTAACTCGAGTTTAATACAGCTGGGAAAACTCTAGGAGCATGTATAAAATACATACCTCAGCATTACCCCACTGAGAGAGCTCCTGTCAATCATAGACTAATGGCTGTGGAGGTGGCGAGGGGAGTAAATAAGCATCGCCATCCCCAATACCCTGGCAACTCCTGCTGTGGAAGTGGCATGATAAAGCCCTCAGGCCAAGAAGAGCAGATGTCATAGTTGCAAGTTGGCATGGGCGCACCAAAGGGGGTTGAGGGGAAGGTCAATGCACTATATCATCTGCTGCAGGGCTGTGTTATTTTGTCCTCTATCATTCCAATTCCTTTGAAGTCAAGTTCTAAAAGTCAGTACTATCCCACAAATACCTGCCTTAGGAAAATGTGCAAGTATTTTTCCAGGGCCTTGGTAGTAGTTTGCTATGGCTGCCATAACAAAGTTCTGCAGACTGGGCGGCTTACAAAACAAAAATGCATTTTCTTAGTCCTGGAGGTTGCACGTCAGAGATCAAGATGTCCTCAGGGCTGGTTTTTTTTCTGAGGTCTCTTTTGGATTGCAGATGGCCATATTTTTCCTTGTGTCCTCACAAGGTCTTTCCTCTATATATGCCTGTGTCCTAATCTTCTCATCTTATAAGGACATCAGCCATATTGAATTAGGACCCACACAAATTATCCCATTTTACCTTAATTACCTCTTTAAAGACCCAACCCTCAAATATAGTCATATTCTGATGTACTGAAGGTTAGGATTTCAACAGAGAAATTTTGCAGAGACACAGTTCAGCCCATAACAGGTATATATTTTTATTTAAAATGGAATTATTTGGTCAAAGAATTTTAAATTCTAATAAATGGGCCAAATTACATCAAAGAGTGGCAGAATATGCCAACCCCAAATATCCCACTTTGGCATAAGGATTATTTTGAGCTGAAAACACTTAGAAAACAGCAATTATAAGAATGTTCTGACCCCCTCCCCTTTCTTTCTGAAAACAAGAGATAAAGCTCCCATGTGAAAGATGTTCTCCTACGCTAGGAAAAAGAAACAGTCTTATCAGCAGAGACAGGGATTTGAGGCTAAAGAATTCTGTACAAACAAACCTTCTTAAAATAACTCTTCTCTGGGACTAGCAGATGGCATAATGGTTATGTTGCTGGGCTCCCCTGTGGCCAAACGCAGTTTGAGTCTCAGACCCTGAGGCTTGAAACTCAGACCAGGTGCATGTGCGTGTGTATCCAAACTCCTCAGAGGAGAAAGGAGAAGGGACTGTGGCATGGCCACCCACTGAGGGGTGATTTCTTGGTTTTTATCTTTCTCTGTCTTTCTAGTGAGCGTACACGTCCTATAGCAAAATTCTGTCTCTGAAAAAAAAAAAAAAGAAAAGAAAAAAAATATGCCCTTCACTTCCTTTAGCTTCTCCATATATTTCAGTTACTCTTCCACAACTGTCCCTCTTTGCCATGCTAGTGTGAATGAATTTAGGTTTTGCTACTTCTTTGAGTCTTCATTTCATTATGAGGGCTCCTATGTCACATAAAACTTTTATTATTGGGTTGTTGGGAAAGTCATGACACATTTTTTTTCATAGAAAAACAGAAAAAATACATCATGACTTACTCCATGACCTAATATTAAATAAATATGTGATTTTTCCAGTTAATTTGTCTTGTGTCAATTGAATTCTCAGGCCTCACTGGGAATCCTAAGAGGGTAGAGATAGTTTTACCTCCCCTACACCATTCTATGTAAGATTACTAATTTTATTTATTTATTTATTTTTAAGTTTGCTATAGGATGCATACACTCACGAGAGAGAGAGAGAGAGAGAGAGAGAGAAACAGCAAGGGAGAGAAAGTGAAAAATCACCCACTGTGGGGATGTCCACGCGGTAGTCTCTTCTCCCTCATTCTCCTCTCAGGATTTTGAACATGCATGCACATGCACCTGGCATATTTTTCAAGCTGCCTGCTCTGGGACTCAAACTGCAGTCAGCCGTGTGAGATACAGCCACCTTAACCTCTGGATCCAGTCACCTGTTGGCATGGTAATTTTCATTTCACCCAGCAGTGTCTGAGATTACTTCTTTCCATGCCCTTCCCAACTCTGATATTATCCACTTTTTAAAAATTTGTTAATCAGTTGAAAAGAATGGCATCTCTGTTTTAATTTTCATTTGCCTGCTTACTGGTGAGACTGAGAGTCTTTAAATGTTTTTATTGACCATTCAAATTTCCTCCTGTCTATATTCTTTTCTCTATTTTCTCTTGAGTCATTTGTCCTTTTCTTATTAAATTTTTATTCTTTTAAAATGTCTGTCATGTGGGACCATCAGATGACATAATGGCTATGTCCTTGAACTCCCATGTAGTTGACTGCAGTTCGAATCCCGGACCTGGTGGCTTAAACTCACGCTGGGCACATGTGTGTGTGTGCTCAAGATCCTGAGAGGAGAATGGAGGAGAAGGGATCATGGCGTGGTCATCCCCCTTGGGGGCTGATTCCTCATTTTCTCTCTGTCTCTCTGCCTCTCTCTGTCTTTCTGGTGAGCACACATGCCCTATAGCAAAATAATAAAATAAAAAAAAACTCTCCAAAAAAATGTGTGTGTGTGTGTGTATATAATATATATATATTTATATATAATCCGTCATGTGACACTTCCCAGAGAAATTGGGAGCAGGGGCAAAAATATGTATCATGGAGCCAGCAACGGTGTGGCAGTTAAGGTGGTGGATTCCCCCATGACTGACCATAGTTCGACTCTCAGACCCAGCAGCTTGATAAATCACAACAAATAAATAAATAGATAAATAAAAAAATGTTTAAAATAAAATAAAATGTGGTGCTCCCTTTGGCAGCACATATACTAAAATTGGAACGATACAGAGATTAGCATGGTCCCTGCTCAAGGAAGACATCCAAATTTGTGAAGCGTCCCATAGTTTTACTGATTGTACTCTATGATAGAGACTGAAAGACTGGAGGACATAGAAGCATTGAAAAATTTTATGGACACTAGAGACAAAGTGGAAGGACAGTGTGGGAGCAGAAGAGCATAGGAAAGGATATTTGGGGAAAAAATAGAGAGGTAAGATATTTGTGAGACACAGATATGGTTTGTTATCTGTTGATGAGGATGTGTATAGTATTCTCAACCGGACTGGACTGAGGTGTATATCATGCTAGGTAACGTCTCACTACAATCCAAATGATGTATAGCAATTGAATGTATAAATAATAACAATAATAATAATGAATAAAAAATGCAAAAAAAAGAAAAGACAGTGCTAGAAAAGGTGAAGCAAGAAGACTTCAAAGATAAAGAAAACCCAAATTACCCTGATGTAGTAGAAAAGATGCCATCCTAACTGTTTTTTCACAAATTAGTCTATAAAAATTAAATAGTAGATGCTGCAATAAATTTTTCCATACAATGCAAAAAAATTTTCAATTAAAAAATAATAAAATGTGTGTCACTATACCAACTTTTTGATATATGTGCTACTGACATATTCTCATTGACAGTCACTTGTCTTTAAATTTTATTTATGTGCATTTTTGCCATATAGTTTTACATTTTAATGTGGTTACCTGTGTCCTGGATCTGCTTTCTTCTCATCTTCTCAAGGACATTTTGCTCAGTGTATAATCCCCTTATCCTTCCAGCATCCACCTCTCACTCTCTATGAATCATTGTGACAGATGAGAAACACACTCTAGTATGTCCCACTTGTTATAACTTCTCCTTGACCCTTCATCTTTCTCCAACTACTTTCGTTCTGCTTTGCTTCATAGCAAAGAGAAGTTTTTCATTCTCTCTACTTTTTCACCACCTCCATTCATCAACCTCTTCAGTCTGGCCTATGTGATCACCCTTCCACTGGAATTGCTCTTGCTGAGGGCATTGTGACCTTCATAGGGCCGGCTGTAGTCACAACCTAGAGACCCTGTCTCCAGCTAATGGAGACTTAGCTCCAGCTGACTGTGGCTAAGTGGCAATGAGAGCTCAAGGATGAGAGACCTGCTAGTTTTTCAAAAGAAGGAGCGAATTTGTATTGGGTTGTTGGAAAAGTTTTTCTGTGCAAAAGTGCATCATGACTTTTCCGACAACGCAGTATATTAGTTAGAATGATGCCGTGAGTAGTGACTTGAAACAATAGCTTAAATGAAGTAGAGGTATAGTTCTCTCTCACAAAAAGAGGCCTGGGGAGTGTACAGTCCAGGCTTCCTGGGACTTCAGTGGAATCAGGGACCCAGGTTTCTTCTAACTTGTTGCTCGACTTGGTATGGATTCCATTCTTGAGGTAATTTCATGGCTCAATGGACTCATGGCGTTCCATCCATTGCCTCCTCATTCTAGCAACAGGAAGAAAAAAAGGAAAAGAAAGTGTCTGACTGGTCTTTTTCGAAAGAACTATTTTTTTATTAGTTATTATTATTTATTTTTTAATTTGACCAGAGAGAGACAGAGAGAGCAAGAGACAAAGAAAGTGAGAAAGCAAGCCACTAGGCCTGGGACTCAAACCACAGTTGGACATGTGAAAGTCTAGCGCCCAGACCACCATGCCACCTGCTGGCTCCCAGACTGGTCTTTTGTAAAGTGATTTCCTGGAAGCTCTATGCCTTTCCTGTTTCATTTCATTGGCCAGAACTTTATAGCGTAGTTACTCCTAGCCACAAAGGAGGCTGGGAAGTGTAATCTTTATTCTAGGTAGACAAGTGCCTAGCTAAGAAGGGGAGGATGTATATTGGAGTTTTAAACTAGGAGTCTTTGCCAGAGCTGGTTTTTTTTTTTTTTTTTTTTTTTTTCTGTGAAATTCCCAAATGTTAACACCATGACAGCCAAACAAAGCATGTCTACCACCTGGTTTCAGTGGAAGAGCTGCCAGTTTGGGGGACCCTGCTTAGAGAAGCAAATATGGATGGAATGCATTTGTGTGATATGTGGTGCAGCTGGCAAGTGAGGATGGTGAGGATCACAAACAGATGAAGGTTGGGAGGGTTAAGATAGGGCGTGCAAACAGGAGTATGTTCAGGTAGTCTGGGAAGCAGAGTCCGGGAGCACTGTGCAGGTGGGCTTTGGAGAAAGGGTAAAGAGATATAGCCCTTCCTTGTACATCCAAGGAGTGCTCGGGACATTGGTGGGCACGGGGGCGGGGGGGATCCCTCACTTCCCTTACCTTTAGGTCTAAGCAATTATTCCAGGGGGTATGATTTCCATCCTCTTTGAACGGTGAAGTCTCTCTCTGTCTGCTTTCTGACCTTTACCAAAGGTACCCTCTCTGGAGTGATAAGTGAGACCGTGCCAGACCTGAACTCCCCAAGAGCTCACCAGCCCTCTCCAATCCACTCACCGATCCCCTCTCATCACTCTCTTAGAGTCGCTCTGTAGATATGAACTTAGCCAAGGCTCAGGTTCCATGACAGTTCCCCTCTAAATGGCCAAGCCTGCCAGTCATGCTAGACCTTCTTGCCATGAGAGGTACTGGGTTATGATGGAAAAGGTGATAGGTTTGCAAGCAGACTTCTCTCGCTTGAATTCCTGCACCATTGCTTACTAGCTAAATGGACTACAAAAACCTTTACAAGCATAAATTGGGGCTAACAGTGTTCTTACCTACTTTGCATAGGTTGTTGACGGATTCATGGGGATTGCTTATGTGAAAGGCCTTTGTTAAAAGGGGGGAAAAAACTTGAAACAGTTCTACATATGTTGGGAAAGTCATGACCCATTTTTGTGTTGAAAAACAAAACAAAACAAAAAACCACTTTCCCAACAACAGATTTCAGTAAAGATTCTCTATATTCATCCACATGTTCAAAATTAATGACTTTATTGACACAAACTTTGCAATAGAAAGTGTTACCCTAACAATATAGTAAGAATCAGTTTCTGTCTCATACACACATGAAAAAAATTACCAGACAAATTTTCAATAACAAGGTTTAATTTTGGATCACTGTCTCAGTGAAATCCAGATTGTTCCAAGGAGGGCCTGATCACTTGCCCTTCATTCTGTTCTCCTCCAGAAGGGAGAGAGCATTTTTGTATAAGACCGGGACACCTTTTCAAGTTGATAGATTCCAAACAACGTGCAGCAGTGAACCGATGCAAAAACGACCTTGTAAAGAGAAGCTGGCTTAGCCTGTGGCTGAGAGCACAACAGTGGGCGAAGGAACACCTCGTGCAAACACACACATGCACTGGAACAAAGAGCCCTTGAACTTGCAGGATCACTGCCAGCCTCTGGCAGTGGGGGCTCCTGCT